CCCAAATGTCAACCTCACAAAGCTTTTTATTATTGGGCAATGAAATCCCAGAAAATCCCAGTCAACTGGCAAGCAGCTTGTTAGGACTGAGGGCACAGCACCGTCACTGATGCGGAATTGGTCCACTGTCTCCTTAGCCTCAGTACAAATTCCAAGAGCTTTAGAGTTTATAATAGCCTCAAAACGTAGCATGGTAGCGCACGCTTTTGATTCCAGCACTCTGGAGGCAGAGGCAGGAGGATCTCTGAGTTCAAGGCCAGCCTGGTCTACATAGTGAGTTCCAGGCCAGCTGAGGCTACAGGGAGACCCTGTCTCAGAACTGCTTGCTGGTTGACTGGGATTTTCTGTGCAGTCCTTTTATTGCCCAATAGTAACAATGTTAGTTTCTTTCTTTCTTGTTCTTAGACCCCACATTTCTTTCTCTTGCCTCATTCCATTGGCAAGTCTGATACAAAATGTTCAAGTGATGCTGGGGATGGAAGCCAGGGCCCTGCACAACTGTTTCTCATCTTAAGGAAAACACTTTTTTTGTTTTGTTTTGTTTGTTTTGAGACAGGGTCTCCCTGTAGCCCCAGCTGGCCTGGAACTCACTATGTAGACCAGGCTGGCCTCAATCGCACAGAGATGTGCCTGCCCTTGTAAGTGCTAGATTAAAGACATGTACCACCACACCCTGCTAGGAAAACACTTTAAAAAATATTTTATTGGCTGGGCGTGGTGGCGCACGCCTTTAATCCCAGCACTTGGGAGGCAGAGGCAGGCAGATCTTTGTGAGTTCTAGGCCAGCCTGGTCTACATAGTGAGTTCCAGGACAGCTGGGGCTACAGGGAGACCCTGTCTCGAAAAGACAAAAAAAATTTATTATGTGTATGAATATATTGCCTGCATGTGTATAAGTGCACCCGTGTCATGCAATGCCTGCAGAGATCAAAAGAAGGCATCAGATCCCCAGGAACTGGAGTTATGGATGGTTGTTAGCCACCATGTGGGTGCTGGGAATCAAACCCAGGTCCTCTACTAGAGCAGCCAGTGCTCTTAACCACTGAGCCATCTCTCCAGTCCCAGGAAAACACTTTTAATATCTCTTTTATCTTTAAAAATCTTATAGATCTAAAAAGAACTCATCTTAAAGAAGTATTTTATTTTTATTTATGTGTATGTTTATGTTGAAGGGGGCATGTGAGTGCAGGTGTTTGCAGAGGCCAGAAGAGGGCATCAGATCCCCTGGAGCTGGAGTTACAAATGGTTGTGAGCTACCCAACATGGGTGCTGGGAACTGAACTTGGATGCTGCTTGCTTTAAGAGCAGCAAGAGCTCTTGACTCCTGAGCCATCTCTCTAGCCCCCACTTTTAATATCTCTTCATGAACGTGTCTGTTTTTATTTAGGTGATTGAAATGTCCATTGACACTTTTCTTTCTTTCTTTCTTTTGGTCTTTTTGAGACAGGGTCTCTGTAGTCCCAGCTGTCCTGAACTCACTGTGTAGACCAGGCTGGCCTCGAACTCACAGAGATCCACCTGCCTCTGCCTCCTGAGTGCTGGGATTAAAGGCATGTGCCACCACACCTGGCCCCATTGACACTTTTCTATTAATCTGATATTGTGGTAAATTCTTTTCATTAATTTATTAATATTAAGCTACACTCATAATTCCTGGGACAAAACTCTGTGGCAGTGATGGATTGCTCTTTCTGCACATTTCTGAATTTTATTTGCTGATATTTTGTTACAATTACTGTATC